TCTTGTGTTTTTAAGACCAAAAGGCATAATTTTGTAACAAAAGTTAGCCAAGTCCGTGATGAAGGCCATCTTCTCTTCATCTGGGGGTACATCCAGATCTAATTGTATCTAGAATATGCATACAAAAGATTGAGTATTTTGTGGCTGGTAGCTTTATCAACCAAGGCGTCGATGTTGGGAAGGGGATAAGCATCCTTGGGACATGCTTTATTTAAATCAGTGAAATTGGTACACATCTTCCATTTTTCATTTTCCTTTTTTACCATAACAATATTAGCTAACCAAGTGGAGTATTGTACTTCTCAGATAAGGCCGGCTTGTAATAACTTGTTAGTTTCTTCCTGGACTACTCGTGATCTATCACCACCTATCTTCCTCTTTTTCTGAGCGACCGGTTTGGCCCCCTTGTAAATTGATAAATGATGGCATGAGAAATTGGGCTTTATACCTAGCATATTTGAGGCCGACCATGCGAACAAGTTAGCATTACTTATTAGCACCTTTTGAAGTGCCAGGTGCTCATCCAAGGACAAGCTTGCTCCGAGATACGTGATCTGCTCAGGTTTTTTTTCCTATTTGAAAATATTTCTTATCTTCATTGGGTTCAACCCAAAGCGCTTCGTCTATTCTAGGGTCGAGTTCTACGTCTAACTCTACCTCTGATCGAGGAGATATGATATTGACATCTGGTCTATGCGCGAAGAGCGATTTTAAACGTAAACTTGCTAGCATTCTTTGGCCATCTTCTGATCTGCATAGGCTGTGACAATTCGGCCTTTGTCTGAGGAAAATTTCATCGCTAAGTGAGGAGTGGACACTATGGCTTTCAACTTGTTGAGGGATGGGCAGCCGAGCAATATTAACGTGCTTGCATGTACCACTAGGTAAGTTACCTTGATACATCTTCCTTCCTATTCTAAACCGAAAAAGGTGTGTAAATCTATTCAGCCTCGGGTTTCTACTCGCTCACCAGAGAATCTAACAAGTGGTTCACTATACTCCTTTAATTCTTTTTCTAGTTTACCCAATTGCTTGAAGATATTCCAATAAAGGATGTCAGCTGAGCTCCCTTAATCAATTAAGGTCTTACAGACCCTGCAATTAAGGATATCAACACTTATAACTATGGGGTAATCCTGAATTGGGTCCACCCCTTGAAAATCTGTCGATAAATGTGATAGGAGGAATCCGAATTCTGCTCCCTAACGATATATGATTTACTGACCGAACATGTCTCAAGTGCCTTTTCCTGGCCGAGTTAGTAGATCCTCTCCTAGTAAATCCTCCTGCTATAGTATTAATGATTCGACGAGGATACTTCTCGCGCTCATCATGACGCCTGATAGGTGGCTCTCTTGATCTACTACGCTGCCGTTTGTTTCTCCTCTCTTCAAATCTCCTTGAAGGTTCGGATTGGTAATTCCTGCCCTTTTCGGTTTGTATAAATCCCTATAAATGGCCAGCTTTGATCAAGTCCTCGATGCAGTTTTTAAGGGTTATGCATTTCTCGGTAGTATGGCCCCAATTTCTGTGGTAACGACATGATTTTGACTTATCTACCCGAGGGGGGTATTCGCATGCCTAGGGATAGTCAGTATCTCAGTTGCCAATGCCTATTTGAGTACTCTTGATCGGTTAGTATTTAAAGTAGTATAAGAGGTATACTTTGGTTCTCTTGGGGGTCGTTCAGCTCCACCCCTTCTGTCTATGTTTTCCTGTCTGTTTTTGAATGGTTCACTCCTATCACCCTCTCTTTGGTTTAACCCCATTTCCATTCGGACTTGGCCTCGGTATTTGGCCAGTTCTTCCATCTGCATGTACTTTGCTGCTTGACTTCTCAGTTCATCTAAATCAGCGGGTGGTTTCTTGCATATGCTATTGACAAAAGGTCCCGATTTTAAAGTCGTTGTAAGGTGATGCATGGCGACTATCAGCTCCAGGTTATGGATTGAGAAGGCTACCTTGCCGAAGCGTTCCATGAACGCTCTAAGTGTCTCTTTCTTCTCTTGACGGATATTAACTAGCACCAATGATGTCAATTGATGAGGATGACTTGTGGCAAATTGCAAATTAAAGCGTGTGCGGAGTGTTTCAAATGAATCGATTAACGAGGGGGTAACCTGGTGAACTAATTAAGAGCCGATCCACGAAGTGATGTGGGGAATATCCAACATAATAAAGCATTGTTGTCTGTATATAGGCCGACTTGAGTTGAAAAGATATCCAAATGCTCTTCAGGGTCGGATGTTCCCTCATATTTTTCCAATGTTATACCCTTCCAATTTTTTGGTAACTTGGCCTCTAAGATAAGCAGAGTAAAAGGGCTTCGGCCTGATGTCCTATCTTGTTCCATAAAAGTAGTCTGCTGGTATGTTTTTGGCTTTTCCTGCAAAGCCAAAGATTCTCCTTGCTCCTGGACAAAGGGGTAGTTTGAGAAGGAATATAAGTTCTAATCTCGTCCCTTAGATTGACGCTCTCTCTCCTCAATGCCAACAATTCAAGCAAGTCTTTTTCTCTTACATCTGTATCTCCATCATTTAAGCCCTTAATTGTTTTACTACTGAAAAGAGATTTTCATCTCTTCCCTTTTCGGCCAGAACTTCAGGTGGGTCAGGTGTAGTTTCCTCCTACTGATGAGAGGCTCTCCATTGTTGACTCTGTCATTCATGCTGACCCCTTGTTAACACCATGATTGATCTGAAGTTGAGGCAAATCGGGCCCCACGGTGGGCGCCAAAATGTTCCTGCTAGAGATACACTGGTCTTCTAGAAGTTCCTCTTCTGTCCTGTATGATGATGTCCTTGCAAGTATATCTAAGTCTCTTTTGTATGATGATGTTGGGGGATGTACCTGCAAAAGGCACTCCGATGGTAAAGTCAGGTGTCGATACATGCAATAAATGCTATTAAATATTTGAAAGTCAACCTTTATATGTCCTTTTTACTTTCCTTTTATAGGCAATATTATGGGCAAATAGGCTTTATGAGTTAACCCTGTCTTTAGCCTTCCAAATAATTAATGATTATTTACCTTAATCTATTCAATCATCTTCTAATTTATTCTTAATCTGACTGGAAGGGTGTTTGTCTTTTTGGGTCGAAGAGGTATTCAGATTCCTTCTTCTGTCATTAAAACTGAGTAGTGTCTTATCCAGTATACTTCTTATGCAATGAAGGTAAAGTTTTCTAATATTAAGTTAGCTCTAATTCATTGGACAAAAATTTCCTATGCAATTAACCAAAACTTTCTAATTCGTTAGGCTTGTCTGATTAACACATCCATTATAGTTTAAAAATTATAAAAAATCTCATAATCATAGAATAAATTTCTCAACAATCTCAAATCAAACTCAAAATCTAATTTTTAATTGCAAAATCAAGTTTTACATCATTTTAAAGTTGACCAAACTAGATAACGCATTAAGATTAAAGAAACTCAATTGCACAAAAAGAAAGTAATAAAAATAAAGATATACTAATAATATAGAAGAATTAAATAAAAATTCATCATATCATAACCTAAAAGAAGTTGATTACACATATTGACAATAATCAACACAAAAATAATAAAAAAGAAATAAAAAAAATTCAATAGAAAATATAGAAAAACACAAAAGTTTTCCAAATTCTCAAGAGAAAAAAAAATGAGAAAAAAATGAAAAGGAAAAATAATCCTAAGCTCAAACTTTAAAATTAAAAATGAGCTATATATAAAAAAATGACTCTTATGATATCTATTTATCAACTTTGGATTCATGCTGTGTGTTCACAACTCATTTTAGTATTAGAATGCTTGGAAGATAGTATGATGCAATTTTTGTATGATTTGGGTGTTGAAATGTAAAAAAGATGGTTCAATAAAAATTTTGACATTGACGTGGCACAATAAAAATTTCAATATTAAAACACTCACTTTAAGCTTTAAAACGCTCATATTTTTATGTTGAGCATTGTTGTAACGCTCATTTAGGCATTAGAATGCTTAATTTCAAATTTTTAACTTTTGCATTTGTCTTCTTTTGATTTCTTTGAGTTTTATTTTCATGCCAATTAATCTTATGGATAATAAAAATTGGTAAATTAATCAATTCTTTTATAATTTGAATTAAAAATTCTAAATATTTAATAACTTAACTAAAATTCATAAACATTGATTATTTTATGTATTTTGCTAATAAATCATGCAAAAGGTTAAGTAACCTAAAAAAAGTATTCAGTAATGTCAAATAATAGCAACCAAAACTCCCTCCATCACCATGCTACAGTGTCATTGAACCCACTGTCTCTACCATTACTGAAAAGATCATTGCTGATATCATCGAAGAAGAAGAAGAACCCTCCCATTCTCAGTGTCCCTCGAGTCTTAGCGTCTTCTTTATTCCTATCCCATTCTAGCCGCCGAATTGACGCATATGACCGTGTGGTGGAGCTACACATCTCCCCGTTACCCATTATGGAAAAATGGTCTGCTCAACACTCAACAGAGATTTAGTCCACAACTAGACGAGCGACGAATGCATCTAACCACACGCATCAACCTTTGCAACCTATCTTTAGATTTGATCTTATGTGTCAATCTCAATCTACCATCTTCCTCTAAAACAACCAAATCTCAGGCCTAATCCTCAACTTGAATAAATTCATGTGTCACAATGAAAGAGATAATAAGCATAGTGTCATATATAACGTTTTGACATTTAACAAGAAAGTTAATAACACAAAGACTGAAATTATTAATTGGATTAACGTGTCATATATTTGACAAAGTCAAAAGTTAAAAAGTTTATATGAATTTTTTTTTTTTAATCAAATTTTCCAACGTGGCTGTACAATTACAAAGTAAAAAGATTGAAATAACCAAAATGTGGGCATACCTACCACAAATTACCATAGTAAGCCTCTACACAATTAAGCCAAGAAAAAGTTAAAATAATAATGAAAAAAAGTTTTTTATTCATTTATTTATAAAACTAAAAAAGAATTTCCGAATTATGACGTCAGCTACGCCTCAAGAGCGAAAGGAGTCTCCACCAGATCATAGGGAGCCCATAACGCATCCAAAGGGCAAGGCCTGTTAGCGTCGAGCCTGGCCCACGGCTTCCCTTTTCCACTCCAATGCAGTAGGCTCACCGGGCCCGGATGCAAATCCCGGCAAAGCCCCCGAAAATTATCGCCGCCGAGCCCGTGCTGGTTCCATCGGTGATCCACCGGCGCAATTTTCCCCGCAAAAACTAATAAAAACGGCGGCAACGACCCGAGCTCGTAGATCCGCATCCTCTTCTGAAGCTCCATCCACTCCCGTATCAAGGTCGTATAGTCTCCAGCGCGCCAGCGCCGGAGATCAATGACCATGACCCCGGTGTTAAAGTAACATGGCCTACGATTCGCGAAGGTGAGGGACAGCGAGGGATTGGCCCAAAACGACGGCGTAAAGTAGGCTGAGAAGTTGGCGGAGCAGTACTCCGGTGCTGCGAGGACGGTGTCGGAGGCGAGCGGCGTAGTGGCGAGCTTGGCAATGTCGTCGACGAGGACCAAGTCGGAGTCGAGGTAAACGACTTTGGTGACGCAATGAGGGAGAAGGTTGGCGAGGTAGCTTCGGGCGTAGTTGAGAGGGCAATCCAAAGCGGAGCGAATTGAAGTTGAGATGAGGCCCAAAACGGCGTCGTCGTCGAAGGGGTAGATTTGGAAATTCAGGTAGGGAAATGAGGTTGTTAATGTGCGGTTGAGTGTAAAGGATGAAGAAGGTTTCGACTTTGCGGTGACGAAATGGAAGATTATGTTTTCCGGGCACGAAGAGTGTTGGAGCACTGAGAGGATCACCGCCATGGAGCCGCGGAGATACGCCACGTCGAGGGTCATTGCCACATGGACCGCGTTGGTGGCGCACATGTGGTTCGGGTGGTGGTGGATGGTGTCGCACGTGGGGGAGTTGTAGAATTTTGGAGCTTCCTTGAAGCGATGAAGGGTGGCGCTGGAGGTTTTTGTGGAGAAGAGGAGAATGGCACATGAGAATAAGAAGAGGAAGGAGGAAGAGGAGGGTGCGGCGGTCGGTGCCATGGGTGGAGCGTGTGTTTCTGATGGATGCCGGATTTGGGATTTGAGTATGACAGTGAGAGATGCAAAAGGGTTGATATAAATCATTTGAAGAGGTCGAAACTAGAATGAGACATAGGGATAGGGGAAAATGGTTAAGAGAACGCTGTTTCGTTTTGTGTGGGGCTTTCCAGTTTCAACTCACGTCGGTTTGAAATAAAGAGCTGCCTCAAGGCTAAGTCAATGATCTTGTATTTTTGTCTTTGAACTTTTAATTTTGTTTATTATATTTTAATAATATCTTTGCTTTTCTTTTTCTTTTCCCTTCTCTTTTAATCAAAAGTAACTATTGATACTGACTCTTGCTGGTTCATTTTCTTTGAGAAAACTACTGGGAAAAAATTACGTCTCATGTGTAAAGTCAAAGTTATATTTGTAAAAATGCTTCTGTTTAATCTTACATTATTTCATGCAGAATCAGCTCTTCCTAAGAAAATTCTCGTAACCTGCAAAGTACGAAACGTACCGTTGGATCCATGTGGTTTTTAGTAAAGTGTATAAGATGTCTTCCGTATAAAAGGTTCAGTAACCGTCTTGTTAGACAGGTAATGCCCTAGCTAACTGTATACTTTAATGGGTTCCATAAACATTATAGTGAAACAAAAATTAGAAACAACTATTTTTTATTCTGTTTTAGATTAAAATATAACAAAAATGTTCAACTAAAAATATGTATTTTAATTTAATGAATAAGCTAAAATTAAAGACAACAATATAGTAACAACTATCGAGCAAATATAATTGTAAATGATGTGAAGAATAGGACAGTACTATAATGAATTAATATAATATTCATAATAGATAAAATGTTAAAGCACCCTAGTTAACACCCACGCTCTCATTAAGGATTTAAATATCAATCCGTTGGAAGGCAACATTTTTTCAGTGGTACACAAAAGCGGGTTCTTCATTTCTATGAATTAAGATAGTTTAGTTTTTATTCTAACTTATTGTAGAGAGGTCATTTTGTTGGACTAAATTTCTCAATGATATAGAATATGTTGACTACTGAGCTGCATTTAAGAGCCTACTTTTGCGATACAAATCCCAAGTAAATGTATCATTTATTGACACGTGAGGCTCACATGCCGTTTCGCAAGGGCTTTCATGTTCCATGGAAACAGTTTTCCACAAAAATGTCAACGTGTGCTACACATGGCACAGTAGCAGCAACTATTAGGTTGGCCTATCCACCAGAAATGGCTTAAGTACTAGCATTTGAGTCGATGGAGACTTGATGTATATCAAACAAGAATTGATCTTATGTTCAAGTGAATTTAAGAAACACTTTTCTTTCGAGGATTTTATGTTGCTTAATGACCGGTATCTCTTACACATGATAGACTTTATTTTATTTTATCAGGTTATATAACCCAATGAAGGTGAGCCTTATGTGGACCTGTGCTCCATCTTTAATTTTAAAACATACCGGAAAATGCGCTCTAGTAATTTTTCATATGCATTTTTTCTTTTTGAAATTTTAAGGGTTTCCTTTTATTCATTTCCTAATATTTTCCTTTTACAGACAGTTATCTTTTTTCTTTTAATAATTTTATTGCACAGGAGATAATGCATTATACTATTACAATATATATATATATATATATATATATATATATATAAAAGATAATGCATTATACTATTACAATATATATATATATATATATATATATATATATATATATATATATATTATTGACACCGACACAAAATGGCTGGGTGGGTGGGTCGGCGGCCATAGACGGCCGGAAAAGTCAGCTCTGCTCAAAGGTGCTTTGCTCACTGTAACAATTGTTTTTTAAATATTTCAAAACCATCTATTATATGAAAATATTTTCTAGTTGTTGTCATGTTCCTAAGCGCGTATTTTAGGTCTGGCATATGGAGCAAATTATATGCATATACTAGAGAAAGCACATATTTTGACAGCCAAAGATTTTGGACCGAGACTTCCATGCTGGCACCATTGTCTATTTTTGCTTCATATTCTTGTTTTTCAAATAAAATTTAGACATAGTATTATATTATATGGTTGTAGGGTTATTTTACTTTTTAAATTTAAAATTTTACCTTAATAATTTTTATGATAAAAATTAATATTAAAAGTTAATATATAATTATTGAAGTAAAATTTTAATTTTAATAAAATCACAATAATAAAATTAATATTTACAGTATTATTTTTTTATTTTTTAATATATTTGGAGGGTCTATTTGACTTTTTATTTAAATAAAACTACTTAGTAAGAGAGACAATATAAGCTTGCCGAGCCTAATTAACTTCCATCTCTTACTTGTCTTATGACTTCTTGGGTCTGCTCGGAGACTAGTACGATTTGTTTGGTGTCGTGAGACATAAATTGGACCAACTTCCTCATAAATAATGATTAACTTTCTTCTATTCATTCATTTAGTTGATGCGTACCAGAACATTGGCTTTTCTTTCCTCTTGTTTTTTGTCTACATGCAGAGCAAAAGAACAACCTAAATATACCAAACAGTCAAAACAGATAAGTTAAAATACCACGGACTAATGGCCTCTGTCTAAAAATACCTAACTTGACTGCTAGTAATGCCATCTCGTGTAAGTGTATGAGAGTATCGTACAGTTTAAATTTGAATATCACTATTTGACGCGTAGAAATTTTAAAGCTAAATGGTATACTAAAATTACTGTTATAATGAGTTAAGCAAACGTTATGGGAGTGTAAATCATAATTTTAAAGGAGATAAATAATGATAATTTTATTCTAATAAAATTAAATTGTATCGTACAATAATTTTATGCATAAAAGAACCCTAATATTTAACGTAAAAATTGGTGAAGAAAATTAAAATCCTGAGACAAATTTATAAACAAAAATCACTATATCAAAGAATAATTATAGTATCTTTCTCCCTTTCTCTATATATGATGGAGAAGGATCTTCTTACACTGGTATAAGTCTAAAAGTTCTTACAATTAATCTGAATCTTTCATTTAACTTACATTTAATAGGTTATAATTTATTAATTTACTAGCCGTTAGATATAAGTTAAATGAAAAGTTCAGATTGAGTGTAAGAGTTTTTAAACTTATATTAGTGTAAGAAGATCATAACCCATATAAGATACTCCATCCAGTCCTTTTTATAAAAAAAATAAAATGAAGTATTTTCTTGGTCCTTATTATAAGAAACAAATGACAGATTCAAGATGCATTAATTGCTAAATTTCTTTTATACCTTTCTTTTATTAATATCATTAAATATACAAATTACTAACTATACCATTTAATATTTTGGGTATTTTGGAATAAAATTCATATTTATGAAAAACATAACAGAATTAATTGTTTTCCTTGATCATGGTAATTTAGTCTTTTATTTCTTATAAAAAGGACCGGAGGGAGTATATAAAATATAATTTTTTTTAATTTAGCAGGAATTAGTTCTATTCAAATATTACAAATTTTACCCTACTAAGAAGCTATGGAGATGATACTCATCAATCCCATTTTCCTCATAATTAGGATTTATTCTCTTTTTATTTTCTCACTATTTTTCTCTTACTTCACTCCAAAAGCTTTAGTTTTCTGCTTTTGTTTGGTGTTTTTTCCTTGTTAAGAAAGCCTTTATTTATAGATTTAGGAAAGTAGTGTGAATTCGACGCAAGGATACGACATCACGTTTTCAATCAGCATCAAATGCATCACAAATTAGATAGGCTAGCAATTCACTGTGCACATTCACAATTTTGAACAAGCTTGAGACATTTCATAAATGTAGAAAGGGTATTTCAATTTCGCTGTACTTTACATGTAATTTGTTCACAACCTTGATATGAAAGATGTCAAACAATGATAATTAAGTGTTTATTGTCATTTTTATTTAAATATTTTTTTATCTAAAATATCATTATTATTAATATGAGTCTAGCTCTATTGACATCATGTGTTAAAATACTTACGTCACTTTTAGGTAATGAATGAGTAAATTTTGGTTTGGTTTGTATTGTATTTCTATGTCTTAAAATGAAATTTCATGATGAAAGCATCATTCTTACATTAGCCTCTAGTGTGGAACACTCTTCGAAAGTTATTATTAACACATTAAATATAACAAGGTGAAGGTTTGTAACATTACACTATTCTAGAGTTTTTAATTTGAAACAGTCATTTGCATAATAGAATAACATAATTGTTCTCTAATCTTTATTTCCAAAGTGATTATGTATATAACTACTCTTTAAAGTCAATTTAGAGAGAAGTTGAAATACAACCTCTCTAATATTCACTTTAGGGAATAATTATGTACCAACTATTCTTACAAAATAAAAATTTAAAATACATTAACAATTACAATTTACATACTTATTATCTTATCTAAGGTGAGATATGTGATGTGATTATTGATGAAGGTAGTTGCATTAAAATGACAAACAATAAATTGGTCAACAAACTGAACTTAAAAACTATTCCACATCGACAACTATATAAGCTCTAATGACTATGTAATAGTAGTGAATTAGTAATAAATCAACAACAAGTGATGGTGAATTTCTTTATTGACAAATATGAAGATCAAGTTTTTTGTGATGTCTCGATCGAGACTACTTAGATCTTTCTTGGAAGACCTTAGTGATATGATAAGTGTGCTCAACATGATGAATTTTTCAACAAATTTTCTTTTATACATAATTCTCACAAACTAACACTTATACCACTATCTCCTAGAGAGGTTTATGAGGATCAAATAAAAATGAGAGAAAAGAGAGAGCAAGAAAAATGAGAGCTTGAGAAAAGAAAAAGAAAATGAAAGAGTAAAGTAAAAGTTCTAGATTTGGAGGGTAAAGTTCAAAAGAAAAGAAAAGAGAGAATAAGGAAAAGGATGAGAGAAAATTGGGGAACGTATTTGTTA